CTCATTACAGAAAGCGGTGAAGGAAGGGTGTGGTGGAGTGTGGGGTGAAGGTAGAGGTGTGGTGGTGTGTGGGGGTGAAGGTAGGGTGTGGTGTGTGGGGGGTGAAGGTAGGGTGGTGGGTGTGGGGGTGAAGGTAGGGTGTGGTGGTGTGTGTGGGGTGAAGGTAGGGTGTGGTGGTGTTGTCTAAGCCCCCATATTGTTCAAGGAGTTCAGATGTAAACAAACTCTCTCCTTGACAGATAATGGCCTCCTCTGAAGCAGTAAGGAAAAAATATATATTTGATTCATATTTATTTTACTTCCCGAGGTCTATAGATACTTAAGGTAGACAATACTGGGTAAACAAACACAGCGCCATCTATGGGTTAGAGTTAAGACAAACAGTTCAGAGACTTATAGTTCCAAGAGCTCAGGTCTCAGATGTAATAGTATGAATGAGACGCCATGTTTGTTTCTTTAAGGGACCTATTATAATTTGTAAGTGAGACCCCCCCCCCCCCCCCCCCCTCTCTCTCTCCCCCCCCTCTCTCTCTCTCTCTCTCTCTCTCTCTCATTTTTACGCTGTGTGGATTAATAAGCAAATAACTCAAGAAAAAATGGGAGGGAGATCGTAAGGAAAGGAAATATACAACTTCCTGGAAATTAAGTATAGATCAAAAAATATTATAAACTTACAAATAAAATATAATCCCGAAATATATTATGAAACTTCCGAAATAAAATATAAAAACCCAATATATTATGAAACTTCCTGAAATAAAATATAAAAATAAATATATTATAAACTTCCAAATAAAATATAAAATCCCTAAATATATTATGAAACTTCCTGAAATAAAATAAAAAAATCCTAGAAATATATTATGAAACTTCCTGAAATAAAATATAAAGTCCCCTGAAATATATTATGAAACTTCCTGGAAATAAAATATAAAAATCCCTGAAATATATTATGAAACTTCCTGGAAATAAAATATAAAAATCCCTAAAATATATTATGAAACTTCCTGGAAATAAAATATAAAAATCCCCAAATATATTATGAAACCTAAATAAAATAAAAATCCCCTGAAATATATTATGAAACGTCTTGGAAATAAAGTATACAACTTCCTGGGAAAAAAAGTATGAGACTGTAGAAGAAACATACAAATATACATAACGTTTCTTGTGAGGGAAAAATTATGAGAATTCTTGTGTATAATAATAATTTGGCGAGGTCTCATACGGTTGGCCAAATTGCCCCTCGCGAAATTACCTCTTTCTGCCGAGCCTATTCTTCCTTTATTTTGGTCTTCTTTCACCACCTTTCTACTCCTTTTTTTCCTCTTCCCTCTTCTCTTAGTCTTCCTTCCTGTCCCTCTTCCTTCTTCTCTTGCTCCTCTTCCCTCTTCTCCTAGTCTTCCTTCCTGTCCTGCTTTCCTCTTCTCTTGCTCCTCTTCTCTCTTCTCTTGGTCTTCCTTCCTGTCCCTCTTCCCTCTTCTCTTTCTCCTCTTCCTTCTTCTCTTTGTCTTCCCCTCCTGCCTCTCTTCCCATTCTCTTGTTCCTCCTTCATCACCTCTGTCTATTCAACACGCTTTTCTTATCTTTGAAACCTTTCCATTATTTCTTCTTTTTTAATAAACTGACCAATGGGATTTACGGAACAGACAAACATTTAAAATAACCAATCACATCAGGCGGGATCTGCGAAACTGACCAATGATAAAAACGGAGAAGTCAGACCGTTATCTTTCATATTTTAAACGGCCAATCACAACCATGCGGGATCTATAAAACTGACCAATGACGTTAATGGAATCTACACAACGCGAATAAAATCTTGTGTGGCGAGTTAATAATTTGTTTTTTTTAGGTTTTGTTAATACTTTAAATTTTTGGTGGGAGGAAACCATTTCTATTAAAGGGGGAGAACTTATTTTTTTAGGGATATGTTTTTTTAAGGTGTCTTTTAGGTCTATTATTAAGGGGGGTCTACTTCGGGGACCTTTTTTGGGGGTAGTTCTTTCAGGGGTGGGGTCTTTTGTTTTTTTAAGGGAAGGGTCTTTTTAAGGACAGGGGTCTTTTTGGGAAGGGTCGTCTTTGGAAGTCGTCTTTTAAAGGAAGGTCCTTTTTAGAGGTTCTTTTGAAGGTTAGAGGTCTCTTTTAAAGAGTCGTCTTTTAAGGAAGGGTCGTCTTTTTAAAGGAAGGGTCGTCTTTTAGGGAAGGGTCTTTTTAAGGAAGGGTTTATTTGACTGATTGTGAAGCCATTTTAAGATAATTTATGGACGGATAGACAGACAAACAGATGAACAGAGAGACAGATATACACAGAGAGAGACAGGCAAACAGACAGGTAGATAAAGACGGGAGGCTGACAGATATACAGAAAGACACACAAAGAGACAAGAGAGACATGGACAGACAGAGGACGGATATTCAAGCAGACAGACGGGCAGACAGACAGACGGGCAGACAGACAGACAGGCAAACAGACGGAAAGACAGATAGACAGACAGACACAGGTAGAAGCATCAAGCGGAGGATAACAAAGAATTCAGAAAAATTGTTTAATAAAATATGAGAGAGATTTTACCGCCAAGAACAGATGGACCAGGCGGGCGGGTGGGTGGGTGGGTGGGCGGGCGGCGTAGGGGTGACATGTGAGTTGGTAGGTTGGGTAGGCAGGTGGGTCGACCCATGAAGAATGGACGACGATGGTATTGACGTGGGTCGGGGGTAGGTTGGTGGGCGGATGGGCGGCCAGTGTGTGGTATGTGGATGGTTAGGTGGGTGGTTAGGTGGGTGGCATGTGGGTGGGTGTGAAAGTGTGGTATGTGGGTAAGCATCTGAGTTGGTGGCATGTGGGTGTGTTTGTTTGTGTGGTTAGGTGGGTGGTCAGTGGGTGGCATGTGGGTGGCATGTGGGTGTTAAAATTAAACAAAAGGACAACAAATATTGAAATAAATAAAATGACAGAAAAAAATAGACAACGAATTAATAATCAAAACAAACGAAACAGATTGGAAAACTTCTCAAACAAATACTGAAAATATTTATCCAGGAATGACGTAAATGTTTTGAAGGCAGAATGAAATAAGAATGAAAATGTTTACATGTGTTTGTGTGTTTACAGCCATTAATGAACACTAAGATAAATATTTAACATTAACTGATAAGAGTGTGTGTTAATATTATATAGGAGATAATGTAACACACACACACACACACACACACACACACACACACACACACACACACACACACACACACACACACAAAATCAGTAAAGTTGTATTAGTTGTGTATATCTGGCAAGAGCTGACCATGATGCATAACTTTGGTCCAGATAATTATAGCAGTCGGTGAAAGTACTCATAATAACTCTATAATTACGGCCAAAACGTCGACATTTGTAATTATTTCTTCTAAAAAAATAAACTTAAAATCCTGTGAAAAAAATGTTGATATCGATGTATAGTGAAATCTCTGTTTAACGGACTGTATGGAGAGGAAATTCCGGTATATCGGTGTTATATGAAACCTCCATCTAAAGGATTATATGGGAGATGTCCGTTATATGGAGGTTTCACTGTAATAGAGGTTAATGGATGTTTTATTTATATATACATAAAATATCAACGAGAAAAGAATGCTCAGATTTTTTATAGATAAAATTTTTGAAATACATGAAAAAAATTTTGTAATGAAGGCTGTTAAGGTGATTACTTATTCACAGGTATTGGAGGACGTAAGGCCAGGTAGATCACACATTGCGCCCACCCACCCCACCCACCCACACCCACACCCCACCCCACCCACACCCACCCACCTTCACCACACCCCTGCCACCCTAACCACACCCACCACACACCCTGGCCACCCCAACCCTCATCACACACCACACCCTCACACACCTCCCACCCCTCACCACCCCCTCACCACCTCCCTCACCACCAATCAATATTACGGTGATCACAGATTAAAACGAATAAATTCAAAGCCCCAGCCCAACTTTGGCAGCAGAGAAAAGAAAAAAGTTCTGAAATGAGTCAGTAGTCAGGTGAACGAAGCGGATATCAAACGGTACTCCGAAACACCTCTTCGAACTCCTCTTTATAATCTCGATAATGGCGGCGTGATCTTACGGTTTAATCTACGGTTTGGCTACCTTAATCCCTAAAATCTACCTGGGGATTACTCTGAAACTATCCCTAATCTGAAGTAAAGGTGGTGTGTGAGAGGAAGGGTTATCGGGGGTGGTGGAGAGCGGGATCTAATATTCGTATCTCGTTGGGTTTGTGGCTTCGAAGCTCAGTGAAGCGGTTCAAATCTCTTGAAAGTGAGATGGCTCGATCCTCCGCTGTAATTACCAATATGGAATAAATTATAGGGAGTCTTTTTTTGCTACTTTTTGGTTTTAACTAAGGGAGAAGTAGGGAGCTAGGGCAGTTAAGGGAGTAGATGAAGACTTTGACAGTGTGATAAACTTTGATGAAAGGGAGAGAGGAGATGGTGTTTGTTACTGTTGTATATAACATTTTTCCCCCTCCCCCCCCTCTCTCTCTCTCTCTCTCTCTCTCTCTCTCTCTCTCTCTCTCTCTCTCTCTCTCATTTAGCCTGACCTACTTCGTTCTCATCTTCCATATTAGCTAATCCCAATCCTTACTGACCCAACCTACCTTATCCATCCTATATCTTCACTACACTATAACTTCACTATACCTTTACTGCTACACAATATATCTTTACTACCACACTATAACTTCATATACCTTTACTGCTACACAATATCTTTACTACCACTATAACTTCACTATACCTTTACCACCACACATGTACAATACACATACACTATATACATACTATAAACTACACCCATTACTACATTATATACCTACACTATACATACACTATAGCCGTTGCTACATTATATACCTACACTATACACTACATTATCTTGGCCACAGTCATAGAATCTGCCTCCTGGTGGTCACACGTTATATATGGTATCATACAAAATGGGTAAGACTAACAACCTAAGCTCAGCTGCCCCGAGTTTTGACATGAAGTGTAGAAGCGGAAAGACAAGCCCCAACCCAAGCCTCAGTTGAAGCCCAAGTCAAGCCCGAAGACCACCCCAAGCCCAAAACCACTCCCCAAGGCAGAAGTCCCACAAGCCCCAGCCCAAGCCTCCAGCAGAAGCCCAAGTCAAGCCCGAAGACCACCCCAAGCCCAAAACCACTCCCAAGAGCAGAAGTCCAACAAGGCCCAGCCCAAGCCTCAGTCAAGCCAAGTCCAAGCCGAGAGACCACCCCAAGCCCAAAACCACTCCCCAGAGCAGAAGTCCCACAGGCCCAGCCCAAGGTGAATCGCAACAAGGGAGAAATAGGGACAGTGAGTATTCCAGCTCAGGTGAAAAACGATCCCAAAAATCAAGAGATCCCAAAACAAAATAAGGACAAGAAAAACAGTGAAGAACCGGACCAGCAGTGGTGATCCCCATCTCTCAATTGAGTAAAGAAAAAATAAAACTATAAAATATAAAATAATAAAAAATAAAATAAAATTGATTTAGTTTATAAAACCAACCTAACCTACCACGTGTCTTGTATTGTGGAATTATCTCACCCTGGGTCATGTTCCGTACGTGTTGTGCCGCCCATCCATTTTACTCCACTGAGTTAGTTGGTGGTGGTCCTGGTAACACACAAATAAATTTTATGCGTCTGTGGTCGAGCACACCCCACCACACTCCACCTAACATTTGTTCCCATTCTTATCAACACATTCTCATTTATTTTTACTCACTAGTGAAATAAATGCATAAATATTTTCTTTTATACAATTTTTATACTCACTTGTTTTATGACTTAATACATTTTAATACAAATATATTAAAATTTATTTGTCCACCTACATATAAATACACCATGTTTCCAGAAATATATTGAGCCACACTATCATTATAACAATTAATAGTAGTAGCTGCCTTAGTAATAGCAACACAAGTAGGAGTGTTATATTGTTGTTAACATAAAACAAAACAAACGGCAGGAAGCATTTGTTGTTATCCACTCAGGTGCCACAGGTATAAGAAAAGTTAATATCCTAAATATGATTGAATATTTAATTCATTTCCATAACAAAACATAATGATAAATTATATTATTTCCGCATAATAAAACTTTTCAACTTATTTCACTTAAACACAAAACACAAATGAATGAAAAATTACATACACACATTCATAGAAAGTTCTATATCAACACAACATCAACAGTATAACCGCTTCAAATTTGTATAAACTGTATTTAGTTTAGTATTCTCAAAACACAATCAGCGATGGATGTAAACACACTACATACAGTACGTGTCAACAAGCTTACCCCACCAACACGTTTAGCAGGGTATAAATGCATTTTCCAAAACAGACAGATGATAGACAGAAAAAGATGTC